ATTGATGTGTGATATGAGAGCAAATTATAGGTTGGCACAGGCCTGCCGTAGACTAGCATGGGGAAAAGGACCCTGCTACTGTATTTCCACCAGTACCTGAAGGGAGGAGGGATGAGACGTGAAGAATTTCACTGCAGTTAGGATGATTCCTTGTTGTAATGGTACTGTGGTTGCTTATTAGTTGGTGTAGCAAATTAAATGGTTTGGGCATTAATAGTAGTAAAAGTAACAATGCATTTCTGAAAAAGTTAAAATTATTTTGAGTTACAAACTCTATTAGGTTGAACCCTGCAAAGTTGCTGTGGTAATAGGTCAGCAATGTCAAATATTGGCAGTTCATGTGATTAAGCTGTACCATTGAAGGCATATGTTTTAGAGTGATTTAGTAAGCAGTCAGTGAGGTCAGGTGACACTGCAGTGTGGGAGTAGCCCCCTGCTAACTGCTGTGGGCCACTATTCAAGTGATGGGTAAACTGGTATCTGTGGTAAGTGGGAATGTGAGGCTGGAATTCCCAGTACCACATTTCAAGTTCTGTGAAGTTAAGAGAATTAGTGGGTGTTAGACCAGGAGGAATATGCATGGTAATTGAATTTTGCCCATTCTCAAATAGAAAACGCAATTAAGAAGCAAGTATAAAAAGCAGACTTTTCATGGATAGGAAACAATGCATATGGTATTTATAAAGTATTCTTGACCAAAACTCCATACGTTTGGATGACATCTGTGAACAGAAAAACATGTGTCTAAATCCCAAATGTGATTTTAGTTAACTTCAGTTTAGATGACACCACACTTATTTTAACCTTGTAATGTGGGTTAGCTGTGACTGTTTCTGCCATAACCCACAGATGACTCTTTGTGTATAAAGTACAAAAAAAAAAAATACATATGAGGTCAAAGATGCAATCGCATTTTTGTAACCTGATTCTCATTTGCTTGATTTGTCAATTGAGCATTCTGTGTGGTGTGCATGTATTTATTGCATTAGATACTGGGGAAGGTCCAGAGTGAAGCAGAATGCCAGGTTCTGTGATTGCTGTCTTGTAACAGGGACTTGAACAGAAATAGGAGACACTGAGGCTTTCATAGGAAAGAGAGTCCTTATTACGCCAGACAGAAGGTGCGATTGGATTTACATCTACAAAGACTGAACCCCTAATAAAGGAAGGCATTTCTTTATCTATATTTTTTAGCTTTTTTGTCTCCCTTATTTTCGAGAGTCCCCTGTCACACTCTCAGTCCACAGGCCTGTTAGGCAGTGTGCTGTGTGGAAGTGCAAATGCGCTGCCTTGGAGCTGCTTGTCCGTCCTCAGGTACACACCTACTTTTTTCTGTCTAGACTGTCTCATCACAGACACAGTGATATGAGCAACCCTTTCCTTTTTCTTTTTAAATTCCTCTTTAAGGTTTTCCCACTCAGAATATTTTAGCTTTGGAAATCTTCAGGATCCACTGGCAAGTGAGAGAACTTCTTAGTTGAACGTGGTTTTATTGTTTTTAGTAAAAAAGTGATTTTCAGTAGCCTTAGAGTTATGTTTCTATAGGTTGGAAGAAAATGTTGATGTCTGTTGTGTTTGTAGCTTGAGGTATGGTTGGCTCCTTGGGTTTTATGGGTAGCAGTTCTTGTCTTCTAAGAAAGTCAAGAAGTCCCTCCTTTTCTCCCCACTGAACAAGAATGCATCAAAAAAAAAAAAAAAAAAAGATGAAAGGAAAACATGAATGTACTATTTCTTTCCAGAGGCTAAAGTGGAAGTATGCGAGGATGTGTTGTTTGTATTTGTGAACAATCTTTCTTAGTTGGATATCAAAATAATGAACTGGAAAAGCATCTCAAATATTAAAGAGGTTTATTTTTCTTTAACAACATTTTTTTAACCCTGCACTGGGACCATGATAAAATAAACCTACTCTGATTTTCTAATCTGATCCAAAATGTATCTTAGTCATGATGGGATTAGCATTTGGAACAAGATTTATTGCCTTCATGTTGGAAACTTAAGATGTGTATTCTCCAAAGTGGTAGGCTATGGTGTGAACATTGGTGTTGAGTACATATTAGGATGCTGGTACCAACCCTTGAGATGGTTCCCTGCTGGGACTTTGTGTATATGTGGTAGTGGGAGGAGGTGGGCAATTAATTTTATGAACAAGAGTGTTTTTTCACTTCCATTTTGTTTTGACATCACAGCCCTAAAACATTTGTTATAAATTTTATCCTCAACCCTAACTATAAGATTTTTTACATCCTATACAATTGCACCTTTTCAACCATCACTGGTGGAGTGCATTTAAAATTATGCTATATGTTTACCTAAAATTTCTGAGGAAACCAAGTGTGCTGCAATTACCAATGCTAATGTTGCAGGATTTGTTTTGTATGTAAATGATGAGCAAATAACATGTGGCTTATTTATGATAACATTAGGACTATGTAGGGTGTATTTTAACAGTTTGCCTGGAAGAGAGAGACATAGCAGGTCTAGAACTAGTAAGCGCCAGTCAGTGGACAGACTTGGCAGCCAAGGAGATTTATCTGCGTGGATTGGAACAGGAAGTACAGTAGCTGGTACAGGTGCAAACGTGGCCACATCTATGTTGGTATATACTGAAGACTGCTCTCCACACTTTAATGCCATTTTCCTTCCCTCAGCTTGAAATTAATGGCTCTTACATCATCCATGTACAAATTCAGCATGTTTTTTTTAATTAATTAATTTTTTTTTTAATTTTTGACAGGCAGAGTGGACAGTGAGAGAAAGAGACAGAGAGAAAGGTCTTCCTTTGCCATTGGTTCACCCTCCACGCCTCACGCCTCCGCGGTTGGCGTACTGCGGCCGGCGCACCGCGCTGATCCGAAGCCAGGAGCCAGGTGCCTCTCCTGGTCTCCCATGTGGGTGCAGGGCCCAAGCATTTGGGCCATCCTCCACTGCACTCCCGGGCCATAGCAGAGAGCTGGCCTGGAAGAGGGGCAACCGGGACAGAATCCAGCACCCCGACCGGGACTAGAACCCGGTGTGCCGGTGCCGCAAGGCGGAGGATTAGCCTATTGAGCCACAGTGCCAGCCTCAAATTCAGCATGTTAATCTTAAAAGAAAAGGGGGCTGGTGCTGTGGTGGATCGGGTAAGTCCCATATGGGTGCCAGTTCGAGTCCCGGCTGCTTCTCTTCAGATCCAGCTGTCTACTACGGCCTGGGAAAGCAGTAGAAGTTGGCCCGAGTGCTTGGGCCCCTGAACCTGTATGGGAGACCCAGAAGAAGCTCCTGGCTCCTGGATTTGGATCAGTGCAGCTCTGGCCACTGCAGCCATTTGGGGAGTGACCCAGCAGATGGAAGACCTCTCTCTCTGTCTCTGCCTCTGCCTCTCTGTGCCTCTGCCTTTCAAATAAATAAATAAATCTTTAAAAAATATGACATGACTTTCTCTGTGCTGTTTATCCCTGTTAGGGTAAAAAAAAGTATTTTCTCCTAAGATGAATGATGGCAGAAATTTTACTTCCCTGAAATGGTAGGGAAAGAAAAACCATGTGGGAATAACGGGTGTGCAGGTGCTACTTTGAGCAATGAGAAACATTTTAGGTGTACGTGGCGAGAGAAGACAGGCAGTGGTAGGGCACCGGAGCAAGGGTCCTCAGGGTAAGGAATTCTCGGTGAAATGGAAGCGTCAGTGCCTTTCTGGACTCGTTGCCTGTAAGAGTGCATCACCACTGAGTTTGACAACCTGAGGGGATAACTTGAAAAATGAAATGGGACAAGATTAAGAACAATGTTACACAACCTGTTTCCAAAACATGCCTCACACTGTCCCTTTGTCTCTCACAACAAAGGGGAAGGATGGATGGATGAACTGGGGTATGTGGATTTTCTTAAAAAAAGACTTGTTTTATTTATTTGAAAGGCAGAGTTACAGAGAGAGGTAGAGACAGGGAGAGAGGCCTTCCATCTGCTGGTTCACTCCCCAAGTGGGTTCAGTAACCAGGGCTGGGCCAGGCTGAAGCCAGTAGCTTCTTCTGGGTCTCCCACATAGGTGCAAAGAAGTAGCAAAGAGATTACCAGAGAGAAAGAGAGCCTTTTTACATTGATCAAAGAGTCAATTTACAAAAACAAACAAACAAACAAAATCCACCATATATAAATACTAAGTGTATTCCAGAAGTAAAAAACTGCCATCAACTCAAATTGGAAATGGACAAATCCACAGTTACATTTGGGAATATCAAAATCCCCTCTCAGTAGTAGAAACCACTACTCAGAAAATCAGCAAGGATAGAAGAACTCAGTTAACATCATTAAACAGCAGTTCACATTTGTTGAGCTCTCCATACAATATCAGCAGAATACATAGCCCAGACCCTGTTATACCAAGATTAAACAATATATTGTGTAATTTTAAAAAATATTTTATTTATTTATTTGAGAGAGAGTAACAGAGAGAGGGAAAAACAGAGAGAAGGGTCTTTCATCCGCTGGTTCACTCCCCAAATGGCTGTAAAGGCCCGAGCTGGGCCAATCCATAGCCAGGAGCCAGCAGCTTCTTCCGGGTCTTGCCGGTGCAGGGGCCCAAGCACTTGGGCCATCTTCCACTGCTTTCTCAGGACATAAGCAGAAAGCTGGTTCAGAAGTAGAGCAGCTGGGACTCGAACCGGCACCTGTATGGGTTGCAAGCACCACAGGCAGAGACTCAGCCTACCATGCCACAGCACCAGCCACCATATGTTCAGTAATAAACCTGAGCAGTTTAAGAAGAATTGAAATCATGCCAGATCTGTTTTGTGAACATAGTGGAACCTAGGTAGAGATTAATAACAAATGACAGATGAAATAATTGGGAGGGGGATCTTCTAAATGGAAACTGTGCTCTTCTACCCCTCATTCTGAATAGTTATTGGCTCTGGACTTGAGAAATGAGTTCTCTTTCATCTGTCAATATGCCAAAATAATAATGAACGTATTAGTTCACTGATGCCTATGATAAATTGTCTCTCTGTCCACTTTTTTTCCAGCTTCTCTGTTAAAAGGACTAAAACATGCTAACATAGTGCTGCTTCATGACATCATCCATACCAAGGAGACACTGACACTTGTGTTTGAATATGTGGTAAGTCAAGTAAGAATTCACACTTATAAAATAGGAATGCAATTCTTAGTGTTGTTTCTTCTAAAGTTTTATTTCTAGATAGCTGTATTGAATTGAGTATTCATCTGAGTATGTGAGACTTGTAATTTTGCACAGTGACCCTATTAAGAGATATTTGAGTACTTTGCATCTTTGAAAAATCCAGAAATTTTTAAGTTGGATTTTTATCAAATATATTATCTGTTTATAATGGATTTGTTACCTGATGTCTGACTCCAGCCAACTTCCTAATAATGCATACCCTGGAAGATAGCAGTGATGGCTCAGCTACTTGGGTTTGTGCCATTCACATGGGAAACCTGGATTGAGTTCCTGGATCCTGGCTTTGCTGGCTTTGGCCCACACTAGCACTAGGCTTGGGCATTGTGAGCATTTGGGGAATAAACCAGGTATTGGAAGCTGTGTCTCTCTGTCACTCAAAAAAAAAACAAACAATAAAAAGGCCTCCTTATTTGGATATTGTGTGTGTGTGTGTGTGTGTAGTAGAGGAAAGTCTCATACTTACAATTTAGACTTCAAGGTTCTTTCCCTGAGTTGGCATTTCAGCTATTAATTAAAACTTCCAATTTGCATGGCACACATGTAATGATCTTATTGTGTTGAGAGTATTGCTGCTAGAAGACTTAGACTTGAACTCATAATTAATCTTTCTCCATTTCCCTTAGAAAAACATATGGTATTTGTGTAGCACGACCGCAGCATTTAACGGTGGAATCATGAAATGTAACCATGATAATTAACATAGCAATTTTCACAGATGGATCTGAGAACATGTAATTTATAAGACACAAATGACGTTGCTGTAGACTTTTATTGAAAAGAGTGGCTGTTGGTATTGTGAATGTATTAAGATCGCATTTTGTAATTACCATACTACTTTTTTAAAAAATGTGAAATAGCTTGTATTTTTTCTCAAAAAATATAAAGGAATGAATATTTGCAGCAATTTTGTCTTGCTAATGCCTGCTTGTGTCTGTTTGTCATTTGAAAATTGTTGTCTTATGAAGAAGCCATTCATCTTGTCTATTTACATATAAATGATAGATACATTTGAATAATATGGTAATGTGGTTGCAAGGACAGCTAGAGCTGAGCAGTTGCGTATATTACACGCTACCAAGAATGGATACAGATTCACACATCAATGCAAATATAATTTCTTTTGTTTAATCCATGATTTTGGAGTCAATAAAATATATTCAGCTGATTGGGGGCTGGAATTTTTGGATTCATACTTTCCAGTATGTTTAGTTTACATATTTCAACCAAATCTAGATTTTTCTAACTATACTTGACTAACTTTGTTAAGGTTTTATAAAACTGAGAGTTCAAAAATATGCTTATTGCCTTCTTCAATTGAATAATTAAACTGAAAGGTAAGAAAATAGTTTTGGCACCATAATCAGTAATGCTAGGTAAAGAAACTAGCAAAAATAATGTGAAAATATGTCCTCCCAATCTTTAAAAAAAATTATTTATTTAAAAGGCAGAGAAACAGAGTGAAAGAGAGAGAGAGAAAGAAAGAGAGTTCTTCCATCCACTGTTTCACTCCCCAAACTGATGCAACAGCCAGGCTAAAGCCAGGAGCCAAGAACTCCATCCTGGTCTCCCACATGGTTGGCAGGGGCCCAAGTTCTTGGGTCATCATCTGCTGCCTTCCCAGGCACATTAGCAGGAAGTTGGATCAGAAGCAGAGCAGTCAGAACTGAAACCAGCACTATGATAGGGGATGTTGGTGTCGCAAGTGGAACCATAACCGTACTTTGCCACAATGCTGGCCCCACCTTCAAACCTTAACAGAAAATGAAATGTATTTGTCAGACTAAAAGCATACATATTGAGCCAAATGTCATTTGATGATTTTATATTTTGTGGAGTTGCCAAACAAAAGCAAAGACATTCATTTTCTGCAATATTTGCTAAGACTGATTTATAAATACAGTCATTTTTCTTTGTGTGAATGAAAATTTCCCTGATCCTAGTTCCTGGGGAGATTTCCCAGGTCCTCTTTTCACCCCCTCCCCTCAGAAACCTTTTATTTAAGGAATACAAACGTCTTGCATTTCATACGTACAACTTTAGAATCATAGTGATTCTTCCCAGCATACCCACCCTCATTTTCACACTCCTACCTCTGTCTCCCAGGTCCTCTTAAATCAAGCACACGATAGCATGGACATATGAAGGGCTCTACAAGTAACATGTCATTCCCAGCCACTTCCTGTTAGCGAAGGAGCCAAGCTCCTGTGGTTCATGACTTCAGGTTGCACTATCTCTTCTTCAGTTCTTCTTGACACCTTTTCCTCTAGACTCAGCTTTGTTTTTACTTTCTCCTTTTTTTCTGTCCTCTCTATCTCCTATCCTCTTGCTCTCTGTGATGTAGTTTTGCTGTGGTACCTGGTTTGTTTGATTTTGTTTTTGTTTTTGATGATTACAAGTAAAAGATGTTTCAGTGAATCCATGAAATCTGAATTTGGGGGCTGGTGCTGTGGTGTAGCAGGTAAAGCTGCCTGCTGCCTGCAGTCCCGGCATCCTTTATGGGCCAGCTGCTCCACTTCTGATCCACTCCCTGCTAATGCGCTTGGGAAAGCAACAGAGGATGGCCCAAGTACTTGGGCCTCTGCCCCAACATGGGAGACCCAGATATAACTCCTGGCTCCTGGCTTCAACCTGTTGCAGTCATTTTGGGGAGTGAACCAGTGGATGGACGATCTGTCTCTCTCTGTCTCTCGCTCTCTCTCTCTCTCTGTAACTGCCTTTTAAGTAAATAAATAAAGTCATAAAAAAAGAAAGAAATCTCAGTTTAGGGAAGCAAAGAGCTTCATGCCATAGAAATGAGAGTCTTGTCCATTAAGGTGAGGTCTCCTCAGCTGGGTTAGCCTGCCTTTGTTGCCTAGTACAAACATAATGGCTTGGATGTTGCCTGAAGATTTTATTTTCTGTTCTGCCTTCTAATTGCTCATTCCTTGTAAATATCCTGTTATCTCATGAATAATTAAGGTCCCTGTATATCTAATGGGTTCGTTGAGTCCGTTGCTTTCGTCACAGTATCCAGCAGAAATAACTCCAGCTTTCCTTCCATGTTTTCTGGCAGTGGGAAGCTGATAGTGATTTTGAAGCAGGAAATGCCTTGGGCATTAAAGCAGATTTAGGGGGACAGAGCATAAGAAATGTGAGGACACCGAAGGCTTGCTATGAGTGTGGGATGCAGAAAGATGAAAGAATATTTAAGACAGGTGTGACCACAGTATCAGAAGCGAACCACTAAAATTGATGGAGTTTTATGCTGGACACTCCTGTTGAGGCTGCATGATTATTCTCACAGTTGGTGAGTGAATGCCACCACTTCACAAGAGATGCTTAAGGATTAAAGAGATCAAGTTGTAGGGTATAAGTAATATCAACCCAGACCGATCTCCTTCAAATCCTAATTGGAGTATTTCTCCTGTTTTCATTTGTGGTTTTACTTTGGTTGAGTGAAGGGAAGCTTTCCTGTTTGTTTCTGCCATGCTCACTTGAGTCCAGTTAAATCCTAAATGTGGTTAAACTGCTTAAAACTTCAAGGTTTTTCTACTGGTGGAAAACCTAACCATTTAAACCTTTATTTCAATTACAAAGTTTCCATGAAGCAAATGTGTAAGTTATAACATTGTCCTAAATATTCCTCTGCGATCTACAAACACATACATAGAATTTTGTTATCTAGGATGATATAAAATCAATTCCAAACACTTCAGTCTAAAATGTCTTAAACTTACAGATATTGCCATATTTCAAAATTGTTAGCCTGAAAGTTATTTTTGAAGTAACATTGATTTTGTAGTTTCATGTAGTTAGTAGTACTTTTCTTTTTAAGGGGAGGGGTATGTTAACTTAAATGGTATAAGAAAAATCATTACTCCTACCCATTAAAATTTTAGATATGAAATAAAAGTAAATATTTTTAAAGATTTTTTATTTATTTGAAAGGAAGAGTCAGAAAGTGTGTGTGTGTGAGAGAGAGAGAGAGGGAGAGAGAGTGAGAGAGAGAGAATGAATCTTCCATCTGTTGGTTCAGACTCCTATGACTGTAATGGCAGGACTGGAACCAGGCTGAAGCCAGGAGCCTAAAACTGCATCCTGGTCTTTAGGATGGGTGGCAGGGGCCTGTGCTGCCTTCCCACCTGCTATAGCAGGGAGCTGGATCAGAAGGAGAACAACCAGGACTCAAAAGGATTTGGACCTGTGCTCATATTGGATGCAGGCAGCGTAGGGGGCAGCTCTTAACCCAGTGTGCTACAGTGCTTGCCCCAAAGGTTAAATAATTTAAGATAGAATAGGCACTAGTGGATTTTTCCTTTTGACTTCAGGATTGTTTTCAAGGGCTTTATATGGTACCTCTGTAACCTGAGTCTTACCAAGTGAAGGAGTACCATATATTATAGTGTGCATGCAGTACAAACACATTTTTGTTTTCAATGAATAATGTAACATTTTAGGTTTCAAAAAAAAAAAAAAAAGCCTTCTGAGGGCCAGAACAATGAAATAAATGATGAGAAGTTGATGATGTGAAGAAATACTTGATCAAATGACCTTTAAGGTCAGCATTAATGTGATTCATTGGCTAATAAGGTATTCTTGACTCTTTCTGGAATGTTTCTCAAATGTTCTGAAACATTTTTATATGCTTTCTTAAAATTATTTTTATTTTATTTGAAAGGCAAAAAGAGAGGGCCACAGTTAGAGGTAGAGTGAGATCTTTCATCTGCTGGTTCACTCCCCAAATGCCTGCAGCAGCCGGGGTTTGGCCAAGTTTCATGAAGACTGGAGCACAGAACTCTGTTTGGGCCTCACAAATGGGTGGCGGGGACCCAGGTGCTTGAGCAGTCACCTGCAGCCAGCCAGGTTGTGCGTTGGCAGGAGCTGGGTCAGAACCTGAGGAACTGGGCCTCAAATCTGGCTCTCTGGTATGGTATGTGGGC